TATTCCATGTGTTTTAATCAATTCCAGTCATTTTTCTTTCTAATACTCAAGTGGTGACATCCTGGGGTAAGAGCAGCCCCTTCATGCTGACACTGGTGTCCCTGTTGAAGGCTCCTTTGCTTTCTGGAATAAGACTTTGAACTCCCACATTTCACATGTCCTTTCTAGTCCTGGAATGGCCATTTCGCCAAGGAGCCCTTTCTTTTGGGGGCACAATTTTGGGAGCAAAGAGTACACATTGGTATTGGGTTGTCACCGCTTCCAGGCCCTCTCAGCAGATGGAGCCAGGAAACATACTCTTGAAAAGAGAGAAAAAAAGTACAAGTCCCAAGTTCATAGTTCTAGTTCACACATAACTTTTAGTGCTTTTCCTTCTCTTTTCTCTTTACCTAAACATTTTGTTTCCTAATACCATAAACATACTCATTTGTATGATATCATTAGCTACAAAATAGTTTCAGAACATACTAATGTTAACTACTAAGAATAAGACTGTATGTATTGAAACATCACTACTTAGCCCATAAACATGTCCAATTCTTTTTTTTTTTTGAGACAGAGCCTCAAGCTGTCCCCCTGGGTAGAGTGCCGTGGCATCACAGCTCACAGCAACCTCCAGCTCTTGGGCTTAGGTGATTCTCTTGCTTCAGCCTCCCGAGTAGCTGGGACTACAGGCACCTGCCGCAATGCCCAGCCCGCCACCCTTGGTATATGGGGCCAGCGCCCTACTCACTGAGCCACAGGCGCCACCCATATATGTCAATTTTTTAAATATAAAAAGAAATTTAAAGAAGAATGAAGCTACTGAAGGAAGTTTAATGTTTCTTTGCAGCTCTAGTTCTCCTTATCCCTCATTATCTGTGGGGATTGGTTCCTGGCCCTCCCTTGGATGCCAGAATCCACGAATGGTCAAGTCTCTGACATACAGTGAATGTAATACTTGCATAGAAACTAAACATATTCTCCTGTATACTGTAAATCTTCTCTAGATTACTTATAAGACCTAATATAATGTAAATGCTATGTAAATACTTGTTACACTGTATTGTTTAGGGAATAATGACCAGGGGGAAAAGTCTGTACTTGTTTAGTACAGATGCAATTTTTTCCTTTTTTTTAATATTCCACATTCAACCTTGAAGATGCAATTTTTTCTCCCCCAATTTTTTTTTTAAGAGACAGAGTCTCACTTTATTGCCCTTAGTAGAGTGCTGTGGCGTCATAGCTCACAGCAACCTCCAACTCCTGGGTTTAGGCGATTCTCTTGCCTCAGCCTCCCGAGTAGCTGGTACTACAGGTGCCCGCCACAATGCCCGACTATTTTTTTTTGTTGTTGCAGTTTGGCCGGGGCTGGGTTCAAACCTGCCACCCTTGGTATATGGGGCCAGTGCCCTACCCACTGATCCATAGGTGCTGCCTACTCCCCAAATGTTTTCAGTCTTCAATTGATTGAATGCATGGATGTGGAGCCCATGGATGTGAAGGGCCAACTCTCCCACTGTGGGTGTTCATTAAAAATAGTGAAATAATCATTTTCTCTGAGTAATTATGTAATGAAATTGATACATGGTTGGGTCATTTCTTTCTGTTTTTCAATACTTAAAGATGGCTTTTCCAAATTTAATTTGTGAGTTGGCAAATTATTTCATGATTCCAAAGTGAAAGCCACATAAAAAGATATATCCAGAGAGATCTTATTTCCATCCCTGTCTACTCTCACCCCGACTTGTGCCCTCCTTCCCTCATGGGATCCTTTTCCATTAGGTTTCGGTTTGTCCTTCTGCTATTTCTTTTTGTAAATATAAAATAGATGTGTGTGTATGTTCTTCTTTTTATTTTATGTATACTATTCTTCACTTTTTTTACTTACTTTATGTTAGATCCTGAAGACCCCACATCAGGACCAAGAGATCTTTCTTGTCCCTTTTTACAGTTACATAGTATTCTATCATGTGGCTGCATGCTCATGTATTCAACTGATCTCACATGGAGCCTCCTTTTGTAACTGTGACTTTTATACATGCAGTGCAGGCTATTGGCTTCCATACGTTAACTTTATATCCTGTTATTTTATCAGATTCTTCTAAGTTTGTATTAGCTGATCTGTTGATGTTCTTAGGTTTTCCAGAAATATAATCACATCATCTGCAAACAGACATATTTTACCTCCTTTTTATACTTTTCCTTTCTTCTTCTTCTTTTTTTTTGCAGTTTTGTTTTTGTTTTTTTTGGCTGGGGCTGGGTTTGAGCCCGTCACCTCTGGCATATGGGGCCAATGCCTTACTCCTTTGAACCACAAGTGCCACCCAACTTTTCCCTTCTTGAATTGTTTTGTTTCATCTCACTGCCTTTAGCTAACCCTCTCAAATTTTACTAAGTCAGATTTGCCACTTACTAAGTGGCAACACTGGGCAACATTATCTTGTTGCTGACTTTAGTGGGAAAGCAAAAGTTTCCCCATTAAGTAAGATATAGCCAGAGGAAATATTTAGCAATTCCTGATAGTTATCTTTTATAAATCATTTAAAATCAGGAATGCATGCTGAATTTTATTAATTGCACTTTCTGTGTTTATGAGGGTGATCATATGGCTTTTTTCTTGCCTAGATGTTAAGACAACAAATTGCGTTGAACCACCCTTGCTTTCCTGGAATGAAATGAACCCCACCCACTTGATTGTGATTTTATATATATATATATATACACACACACACACACACATATACATATATATTTAAATGTACTGCTAGATTCTTTTTTACAAGGAAATTCTGAAGGAGTGGGGAGGAGGTAGAGTGGCACTTTGAAGTGGACCCAGCAGTGATGAGCTGGGTGGGGGACACCTACCTTCTCTGGTCAAAGTGTCTGGCCTGGCTCGGCGCCTGTGGCTCAAGTGGCTAAGGTGCCAGCCACGTACACCTAAGGTGGTGGGTTTGAATCCAGCCCGGACCCGCCAAACAACAATGACGGCTGCAACCAAAAAATAGCCAGGCGTTGTGGCGG